TAGAGACATATCCCAACAGACTAAAGGCTGTAATTAAAGCAAAAGGCGGTTCAACAAAATACTGACAAGGGGGTGATCCTTTTTCCAACTCAGTGATTTTTATTTTTTTCTGACATGTTGGTGTTATATCTTTCACTTGGATGTTATAAGTTGCACTGAGTAAATACAGCTGGATAAAACAAAAACTGCGTCCGTCTTCATTTCAGGCTGCAAAGCAACAAAATGTGATTATTTTTAAAGGGGGTGATTCTTTTCTATACCCACTGTATGTATGTGTGTATATATATACACATATATATATGTATATATATATATGCAATAAAGATGCTAAAGATGCTAAAACCTGTTTGACATTATTTTCACACCAACTAATCACATTTACCCCAAAATATTTTGAACAATATGTACAATAAAAACACACAATTTAGTTAAAGATTAGATCAGATTGTATTCACAGTTAATGCAGATATCCAGGTAAACCCAAAGGGTTCACATAATTTTCCCTGCAGCTGAAATGAATCTCTCTCTGTTAATGGTTTGATATATGTATATTTGAATTGGAATTTATTGAAAGGATAGCCCCTTGAGATGTAACATCTAATTTTCAAGGGGCTCCTATAAACACAAAAACAAAGTATTACAACATAAGCAAAACAACCATATGTACACACACAAATATACAAAACAAAAGACACGCTCAACCAGTCCCCCACTCCCACAGCATGATTACAAAACAATCAGCATCATACATATGCAGAATCAACAAGAAATTTAGAAACATACACAAACTATTTTGAGATAAGAAACTAGAGATAGCGTAAAACAATAAAAGGAAGTAGCAGATCTCAAAGACTGAGGAAGCTTATTCCAATCAGAAGGAGCTATATATGGAAAAGACTTATTTGATTATATGTCATCTTGATGTCTGCAGGCTGTCTCTAAAGCGGCGAGGTTGCTGCTAAATCCTGATGCTCCGGCCATCCCGTCTCCCGGACAGGCATTCGGATATGAAGAGGATGCTCAAGGTGTCCTGCACCGACACAAACCCCCCACCAGAGACCAGACCCTCGGCCCGGCCTTCTACAGTCCCGTACCGGTCAGACAGATTACGAGCAGTGTGTGTAAATGGATGTGCACTCAGTGAAAAAGATACACATTTAATGGAGTGCTTTGAGTGTGTGTGTGTGTGTGTGTGAGGTCAGATGTGTCCATTAACAGAAGAGCGTCTAATGCCCCTCTGCTCTGCATCATTAGTGCCGGGCCTATTTCCATTACTAATGATCGCTGCATTATTTTAAAAAGTCACAAAGCACAGCACTCATCCATTTTACTGTCAGGACCGAAAACCCTGGGTAATTATTCTTTACGTTATATTTCAATATTCACTTACAATAATGCAGCAGATGCTGGACTCAGCTTTAATCAAATCATCTTTCATTTGCCATTGAGCTTCCAACTTCCTCTAGAGGGGGAAGAACTCTTTATCAAAGTGCAGGGCCATCCATCATGGTGCAGCTCTGTTTCTCTCTCCCGTCTCAGGTTTTCTTGTTGATTACACATATTCCACCCATTTAAAGTCCTTTTTGTAAAATGGTCATATTCTACACTTTTGTAGCACTTTGTTGTTTCACTGAAGACTACTTATCTCTGATCCAAAACCTACTGAGCCATAGTGTACATGAAACATGCAGCTCAACGAGCTTCATCAAGGTTAATTAACCATTTTCATCAAGGTTTCAGTATGAATGCACTAACATTGAAAATTTGGCCTGTAAAGTTCACGATTTATGATGACAAATAACCATCTATTATGGCTAATACTCAATATTGTATAATAAATATAAATAAATTGTATAAATAGTAAAATATAAATAAACTGTATAATAAATATCTAAATCAATTCTGTCTTTAATATATCAATATAAATCAGTTTTAATAATCCATATATAATTTCTACAATTTTACAGACATCAGGTTATGAAATATACTATAAAAAAGGTTAGCTGTTTTTTTTTTTTTACTTATGAAATCTGACAAAACCCCCAAATTAATGAAAATGTGAAAATTACAAAATAATTTCTAAAGTAATTTCTAAAACTTAACAGTTCAAAGTGAAATCAAGTTTTGAAATATACTAGAAAATAAAATTTTTACTTATGAAATCTGGCAAAATAAAAAAAAAGTCAGTGTGTGTTTTAATGTATAAAGATTAAAAAATCGTTATCTTTATAGTTATCGTTCTTGGTGTGAACGGGGCTTTAAGTTGGTAAAATAATTATATGAATAATTTTATATTAATATTATTGATAATGTGTTAATATTATATTTTTTCAGGTGTGTCTACCTCATACAAATAACAACATTTTATATATTTCAAATATGAATTTAGCAGACACGCTGAAGTTTTCCTTTTAATATACTGAGAGTTTTGATCATCTAATCATGATATTTTCTGAATGATGAGTTTTTTTTTCAGTTTAGTTTCAATACAGTAAATGGTCTTAGTGGACTTTGAATGTTAAAGTATGTGTTTCCCTTTAAAACATAAGTCTGTATTATTATGTCTGATGAAAGTGCTGATAAGTGAGAATTGAGCTTAGGAACAAACATTCAAGGTGAAAGGATTGAAATTACAAAAATATATATTGAAAAATATCTTTGTCTTTGCCATTTTGCAGCAGGAGCTGTCGTCCTCTCAGAAGTATCAAGGTGTGCATTTCGGGAAGATGTCAGGACGGAGAGAGCAGGTAAAGGGTGGAGACGGACCTGGACCAGGACAGTATGATCTACAAGAGTGAGTATGACTGATGCATATGTTCTCAGCTGCAACACAACAGCATTTGCATTGTCTTGCAAAATTTATTGGTGTCTTGCAATGGCAAACCAAGTCCAGATGCTTACGAATAAATTTTACAGACGGCACACCCACAGACCAACGCAGTCTGTTTGCTGACCGTCTGATGAACGCTGCACTCAAAAGCACTTCCTTTATCTATTAAACTAACTAACTTTTCCACAAAATATGTGAGTAAGTCACACATACAAGATACTGGGTTGATATGATAAGCTTTTGAGGAAAACCTAGTCATGGGATTTGCCATTTTAATGATTTTGCCATTTTTGAAAAATTGATTGTTTTGTTTGAGGCAATAGAGCACTGCAGTGTATTTTTGTAGGCCAACCCGGAAATTAGCATCACCCTGGTTCCCTCGACAAAACCCAGTAGGATTTTCCGATTGGCTTTTGGATTATTGTGGAGAATAAACTCTGTGTCAACAAAAGTTTATGATTCTTGCATGTGTTGTTCATCATGATAATCTTCACAAATGAACACAACTATGAATTTTGAAGCCTAAGTCATCCCTGCAGCACTCTTATGGTGTGTTTGATTAAATGGTTGATTTTGTGTATCCCTGTGTGTTGTTGTGTGTATATCAGGGAACACGCTGTCCTCTATGAGAATGTGAATCTCAGGCGAGAGCAGAGAGGCCGTTCAGAGCTGGTCATCCCTCGATACCATGAGCTGGTGGCTCTACAGGAGGAGAAGAAGGTTTAAACCTTATATCACTTGTATTTGGTTTCTGTTACATATGTGTAGCTTTCAGAGGAAATAGTTTTGGACATTTGGTGTTTTTCTGTTCACAAAGACCTTGATGCCACTGAAGCTGCAAGTTAAAGCTAAAGTGTGTCTATGTCACTAAAACCACCAAGTTGAAATGCACAAATAATGACTGTTTACATACAGGTTTCCTAACACACTGACATTAGGCATCATAACTTAACCTTATAAAGCATACTGTATCATATTTAATACACAAATTTCTAAGGCCTCTAAATTATCAATATGATAAAAAAAATAGCTGAAAATCCTGTTGTAAACAATCTACTACATGCCTTCTGTCATCTGATTGATAGTTTGTATTTTTTTTAGCAAGTAAAAGGCATATTAATATAATTGTATGTCCACCTTCAGCTCGTGGTTCACATGTCTACTGTATCATATTTAATACACAAATTTCTAAGGCCTCTAAATTATCAATATGATAAAAAAAATAGCTGAAAATCCTGTTGTAAACAATCTACTACATGCCTTCTGTCATCTGATTGATAGTTTGTATTTTTTTTAGCAAGTAAAAGGCCTATTAATATAATTGTATGTCCACCTTCAGCTCGTGGTTCACGTGTCTTTTTGCATTGAAATCTTAAATTTTTTTATAAAGTAAACATAAGAATAACTTTTATATTGTTAGTAATATTTCATGATGAATAACTTATTGGACTGAAGAAACTTAGGTTTATTTGATTATCCATGAATTTTTTATTTTTTTTAGAAAAATCATTGTTAAATGTTAATATCAAATATGATCGTCTGGCTTTTGAGGAACATTTATTTGTTCATCTCTCATTCATCATTGTATTGCATTGCATTATATGTCTTGAAACTATAGAGCTTTGATCATAAAACTAAGCATTTAAATATCATCTTACTAAGTGTATTCACACCTGTCTTGTTTGGTTCAATTGAATCGAACTCAAGTTCGTTTCCCCCCTTGGTGCGGATCTTTTGGGCAGGTGT